TCCTCCCAACAGCCTGTCTGGTGCTCCAGGATATACTTTTATTTTTATTTTATATTTATATATGTATATTTTTACATTTCTCCTCAGGCCAAGCTCACTCTGCAGAGTCAGTTTCTCCCTTACCCTCCACTTCTATTTTTTAAAATTTAATTAATTAACTTATTTGGTGGGGGGATACTGGGATTTGAGCTCAGGACCTCATACTTGCCAGGCTGTGCCCCTTAAGCTGAGTTTCTGGCCCACCCTTCACTTTTAATTTTCTTATCTGAAATAAATGTGACTCTTGCTAACTATTTTGCTTGCTTTCTTTAATTCTTTGTTTGAAAGAAAGAAAAAAGAAGCCATAATCTCCCTAGCATCACCACCTCCAGCATCACAAAACCTGTTATTTGCCATCTGACAAACTATCAGGAGCTACAAAGAACCCTGAAAATTTCAAACATGATAAGTATAAGAATAGTTACACTTAGTTACGCTTAGGTGAATCTTTCTTTTATTTATTTACTTATTTTTCTTGGTACTGGAAATTAAACTCAGGACTTCACATACTTGCCAGGCAGTCATTGCACCACTAAGCTAAATCCCCAGCTCTAAAAACAAAACAAAATCTCAGCCCTAAATTGGGGTTAAAAGACAAAAGTATATAGCTGGGAATGGTAGTGCACGCCTATAATCCCAGCACTCAGGAAACTGAGTCAGGAAGATCCTTGCAAACTCGAGACCAGCCTGGGCTACAAAGTAAACCCAATGCCAGCCTGAACTGCATAGCAGTTTATGTCTCAATAAGACAAAAAAAAAAAAAAAAAAAAGAAAAGAAAAGAAAAAGAAAAAAAGAAAAAAAGAAAAGATAAAGGTATATGAAACTGTGGACAGAGGATGTAGCTCTCAGGTATAACACTTGACCAGCATATGTAAGGGCCCTGGGTTTGATGCATCACACTGCAAAATAGAAATAAACAAAAAGTAAAAAATAAATAAAACTATGAAAAATTTTCAAGGGAAGATAAGACCCATTCCTTAAAAGTAAGAAAACAGAAAAGAATGGTAGTAGACTTTCAAAAGGAATGACAGAATCTAAAGTCACTGAAGTTTTATAAATGTTCCAAGATTTTTATCTGGTAAACTATAATTCTACCCCAAATTTGGGCATAGTGGTGCATGCCTATAATTCCAGCACTTGGGAGGCTGAAACAGGAAGACTATCACAAGTTCGAGGCATAATGAGCCTACGTAGTGAGTTCAAGGCAGCCTGAACTGTACAGTGAGATTCTATCTCAAAAAACCAAAGAAAGAAAAAAAAAATTACAATCCTTCCCTTAACAAAATATCTCTTAAAAAGGAAAACATAGCAAATAATTTTTGATAAAAAGACTATTAAAATTAATCACCAATAAAATAAAGTAAAATAAAATTCATCACCAGTAGACCTGCATTTTGTAGAAACAATATTCTTTCAAGAAGGAAAATAACTGCAAATAAAAATATAGTGCTAAAAGCAAGATAAAGAGCAATAAAAGAATAAATGTACTATAAACCAGAGGAGGTATAACAGGGGAGAAGGCAACAGTTTTGAGAAGTAAGTGTGGAACAATATTGGCTCACATGGGTAGGAAAGTGATCTCACCATTATGGCTGCCAGTAGATTCAGGTTAAAATGTGAAAGAAAATGCTCTCTTATAGAATCTTCTTAAAATCAACTTTATTGAAGTTTAATTTACAAGCACAAAATTTAAACAGATGAGTTGATGCATATTTCTGCATAATCACCACTCTAAAAATTATGTGCAATACTTCCATTACCGCAAGAAATTACCATGTGTCCCTTTGATTTTGGTGTCCCTCAATATTCTGTTGCAGAAAAATGCTTTATAACATCTGGAGAAATAGTTGATTCCAACATTTTCAGAGAAAAAAGGGTTCCTGAAATTTATGTAAACTAGCAACCTTTAACTACGTAAAAGGTAATGATACTTTAAAATTCCTCTCCATTTGAATTCCTACTTACTAAGTAATAATTTGCAATCTGTAAGTCACAAATGGAAACCTTGTTCTCATAAGAATGTTATCATTATAATTGTTTGTTGTTGTTTTTGTCTTTTTGAGACAGGGTCTCACTATGCAATTCAGGCTGGCCTTGGGCTTACTTTACAGCTCAGGCTGGTCTTGAACTTGCAACAATCCTTCTGGATCAGCCTCCTAAATGCTGGGATTACAAGAGTGTGCTACCCTGCCCGGCTGATTTGTATTTTTTGACTCCTTCTGTGGAAAGTACTTTTCACCTTTCTTTATATTCTTTTTTCTTTTTTGGAGGAGTATTCACTAAGTGAAACACCTAACATCTTTCCAAGCCTTCATTTCTTCCTCTTCCAGTAAATTAGCTGGCAGCGATAGTAGTTTGCTAGAGTTACTGTAACAAGTGGCCCAAGTTTGATGTGTTAAGATCAAAGTATGGGTGGGATTAATTCCTGCTGATGGCCATGACAGAGTTTGTTCCATGTGTCTCCCCCAGCTTGTGGAAGTTTAAGTCGGTCTTTTGAATTCTTTGTTATATGGAAGCATCACTCAGAATTCTGCTCTTCATTTTCATGTGCTATTCTCCCCTGTGTCATGTTTGTGTCCCAAAGTCCCCTCTCACCCAGGATATTAGTTATATTGGTTATTAGAAGCCCACTCTACTAATGTTGAGGAAATCTTGAGTTACCCATTTTTAAGAAAACTAACATGCAATGTACTGGAATAAAAATTCAATATATGAATTTCATGAACATACAATTCACCACCGGTAGTATCCCAGACCTTCGTCCTTCTTTTTCTTGGCATCTAACTTGATTTCAGTGCTGCTGACTGCTTTTGCTATGTGGATGGATAAAGATATATTTATTGGAAAGTCCTGAATGTCTGCCCAGGGACAGAAAAGTGTCAAGTTGTAAGATTCAGAAATGAAAACAGGCTTTGGTTATAGCTTAGGGCACAGCACTTGCTTAGCTTACTAGGAGGCCTTAGGTTTCATCTCCAGGACCACAAATAAACAAAACACATGAAACAAAGACAGAACATGAAAACATGTGTTTACAACATAAATAACATTCTCAATAGCAGCTCTCTGTTTCTACAAATAATGTTTTACCCTCTCATATCTTTTACTTTTTGGTCACTGTTCATCTAAGTCAGGATTTGGGAGAGGAAAATAAGTATACTGCCTCTAAAAAGAAATATAATGAAGCCAGATGCAACCACATTCTTTAAATCTGGATTTAATTATTTGAATCCTTTAGAGCTGAAACACTTGGGGGAATTTTCTGCATGGGATTGTCACAATGAGTGGGGGAGCACCTAAGCCTCTAATCAAAAGGGACTTAGATAAGAATGAGTTCAATATGTGGCATATCTTCCTTTGGATAGAAAGAAAGGGAAGGGAAGAGGGACACCATTCAGATGGCTTTTCCATGGGGACGATTCCAAGTCTGTTGGAATACCAGAACTGACAAAGAGATGACCTTTCCCAAAAAATGAAATGGAAGAAAATGAACAGCTTTCTGAGAAATATGGTAAATTAGGTCAAAGCACAGTGAATTTGAGAGTTTTGGGGAAAAGTCTAGTGAAGTGGGTCATTGGTCCTCTGAGGAAGATTCTAATTGGATATTGGGATCCTGTCACAGAGGTGGCAGCTGACCTTGTGGAAAAGTCCAAAGGGACTCTAGGGAGGGTGGGCGAAAGGCAGAAGATGGAAAATGAACAGGCTTGAAGATACAAGTATGGAATGCAGGATGAGGAGGACGGCCAGAAATAGCCAGTAAAAACTTCAACCACCAGAGTGTAGGTTCTTACTGGGGTAGTAAGATGACTCTTTCCCTAGTTAAAGTCTTAACTTGAAGGTTTTGTCTTCACCAAGGTTCATCTCTGTGCTGACTTTAGCCACAGAATTAATGCACAGGTATAAATATAGGCCCATAATAATGCAAGAAAACAGTATAAAGGGGGAGGAGGATCAGAGAAATTCCAGTCAGCTTCCAGAAAGAAGAGAAACCTTTGATCTGGCCAATGAAGAAGCCAGGAATGGGACATTAGTGAGTACTGTCTCACGATTTGGCCATCATTACTGTGCTAATAGTAAAACTACATTCAGTAAAGGTTTAATCAGAAACAATTGTTGAAACATGCATAAGAGGCAAGAAATCAATTTAGAGGCAATCGCTACAACCAAACTAGATTGTGAGTACTTTTGCAAAAGATAGTAGAAGAAAGACAAAATACGTGCCAAATACATTCTTTTCTTGAACAGCTTTCTCTATGTAAGCTATTGTTCAAAGACAGTCACACACTTACCCCCCAAAAATATCTGCCCAAGAGTAGAGAACTCTACTTCCGATCCTATACATGAAGACTTCAGTTAATAATAGGTAAATAATTAAACTCAGTTGAGAATTACTCAGATTTTTCTTTGTTATCTGGTTTCTATCTCAGAAATGGCCAAAATAATGAAATCATGGTTTTTTTGGCCTAATTTCATTAAAAAGAAAACAAGTTAAATTCTTTTGAGATACTAATATCTATGTTTTCAAAGGTTTAAAATAGCCACTGATCATGTCAGTGCAGGAAATGATCTGCACTGCATAACTTGTCATCAATACCATTTATTACACACCTATGGGAAATCTCTTTCTCTCATGTTATTTTACAAGAAAAAATTTGAAGAAATTGAGTCTTTGAAGTAAGCCTGTATGGTAACTAGGGCTCTGCACTTGGAAAACAGAGATTTTTAGTTAAACACCATTTTCTTGAGTATTCTTACCTTGAAAAGGTCACATCATTTGGATCCAGCAAATGTTCATGTAAATGACAATGTTAACTTTGTAACTCGAAGGAAACATTGGGTTTCTTCAGTAATAAGAGTTCTTCACTATATAAATGATTAAATTAATGATGCATATTATTAAATATCAAGCACAAATGTTTCTCAAATAAGTGATTTTGTTTTATGAATTAGTGTCTTATTTAATTTAAGAGTACCAATGTGTTCTTGCCATCAGTTTTCTCATGGCCTCTTTCACCTCTTTGTTCCTCAGACTGTAGATGAGGGGGTTCAACATGGGGATCACTACTGTATAGATCAGAGAGGCCACTTTGACCTGGTCAACTGAGTAGCTGGACTTGGGCATCACATACACAAATAAAACTGTGCCATAAAACAAAGTGACTGCAGTGAGGTGTGAGGTGCAGGTAGAGAAGGCCTTGTGCCTTCCCTCAGTGGAGCGCATCTTCACGATCGAGTGGAGAATGTAAATGTAGGACACAATGATGGTAAACAGTGTGCTCGTGAGGACCGATGCAGAAGAGATGGCAGGAGATATTTCAGCAATATAAATATGGCCACAAGAAAGTTTCAGCAGTGGGAAGAGGTCACAGAAAAAATGATTGATTTTATTTGGGCCACAGAAGGACAAGTTCATCAAACAGCCTGTAAATGAGGATGCATTCATGCATCCCCCCAGGTAGGATCCCCCCAGAAGAAGGAAGCAGACCACTGGAGACATCTGGGTGGAGTAGAGCAGGGGAGAGCAGATGGCCACATAACGATCATAGGCCATGGTAGCCAGCAGGAAGCACTCTGTAGTCCCAAAGGCAACATCAGAGGCAAGCTGGGCTATGCAGCCGGTGAGAGGGATAGTAGTTTTCTCTTTTAAGAAACTGATGAGCATGATTGGTGTGACCGATGTGGAGTACCCAATGTCCACAAAGGCCAAATGGCTGAGAAAAAGGTACATTGGTGTGTGAAGCTGAGGGCTGATTCGGATTAATAGAATTATGCTGATATTTCCCACTATAGTCACTAAATAAACTGCTAGAAAAATCACAAAGAGAATGGCACGTACAGTCAGGTTATCAGTCAATCCCAAAATAATGAACTCTGTCACTGAGGTATCATTTTCAGTTTCCATCTATCCACTTAATTTTGCCTATTGGAACCAGAACCAGATAACAAATTAGCTTAAAGGGCCTCACAATTAATACATAGTCTTAAATATAATCTTATAATAAAAAATCTAAGATGATAACTTTGCCTTACTTACAGAATACTTTTGTGCAGACAATTTTTAAAAATCCCATACAATATTAAAATTTGACTGAATTACTTAGGACCCAGTTGCTTGATTTCCATGTATACACCGTAGCATGGGTTAAATTCCTAGGTGCATAAAAATACCTAAATGATATTTACAACAATATTAATTGTAATGGCATAGACTATAATTGACTTAAACATTTAGAGAAAGGTTAATACTTGGTTTTTTCCATCAACATCCCAAACACACCTCTGCCCTAGGCCCCTAGTAAGTGCTATTTCAACTTGTGTAGTGAATTGGCCAATAGAAGAGTAAACTTAGACGTCTTGTTTTTTCTGTGTTGCTCATTTTCCTGTAATAAAAAGTCTCATCTTTAGTTACAATAATTGGCTAGATGGTATCTATGGTCAAAATGAAAATTGAATTTTTATTGTCAAAAGATTGAATTTTTATTGTCAAAAGATTCATCTATACTTCAGAATAATGGTAATTTTGTTTAGAATACTACATATGAATGAGGACAGATGAAAATGTTAGTCATACTCATCTTGTTCCATTACTCTAAACAACATGTTCTTTAGAATATGAATTTGCTCCTTCTTAAAAACTTTCTTCTTGAAGAAAAAGTACACAAATTACAGTCAGCAACATGCGGCTAGCCAGTCTATCAGATTGTACACAGTCAAGTTTACAGCTAAATCATGACAACAGTTTGCTATTGTAGGATAAGTACTAGGATTATGCATCACAGTTCTCAGATGATAGCTCTTTTTTATAGATATGTGAAGGATAAATGTTTTCAAAGTGAGAGCGCACAGGTTTTAGAACTATGCAAACCTGGCACTGTTTCCAAGCTCAGCCTCTCCAAGTTTTCATAGGAAAATTTCACAGGAAAATTTCAAGAATTGATTTTCCTCTTTTTTTTTTTTTTTTTTTGTGGTATCAGGGATTGAACTCATAGCCTTGCATTTTCCAGGAAGGCACCTATGCTGCTGAGCTAAACTCCCAGCCCGATTTTCCATTTCTTTACCTGTAAGAAGGAGATAGTACCTACCTCATGTGATTTTTGTGTTAGTTTACATTAAGTTGTGAAAAACACCAACTACTGTTGACAAAGTAGATAAATATCAAAGAGGCTTGAATAATTAATTTTTTAAACTTCTGGAACATATAGGATAACCTGTGTCATTAAAATATAAGAAGTATAAATTAGTGATATGCTGTTACAGTGCTAAGGACAGGTTCTGAGGAATTGTTACTGTACAGCAAAGTCGGATTTAAATGTGGTTTAGGTCATGTGGGATAGGAACCCAAATTGCTGAATTCACTTGAAATTACAAGTTAATTACTCCACTTGTTTTGCACAATTACACTGACAATCCATTGGGACAGAGAACTTACCTGCAAGCATCTATCAGGAGAGAAATAAAATGTTGCACAATTATGTGAAAGTGTACAAAATAAACTATTATTAAATTCCCACGAGCTTCATATTTTTTTAGTTAAATGTTTTGAAAAAGAAACTGCAACATCTTGCTATGACTTAAATTGACTTTTAGGTCAAAATGACTAATATGTCTACCTCAGTTAGTGGCACTTACGAAATATCTTTACATTCAATGGTTCAATAATCTGTGTCTAGAGATAACTTAGGTTTGTTAGAAGAGTTTTATTTGTAAACATTTACCCAACAAAATTACAGTATCATTTTCAATACAAGTGATGTAATAATTCAAAATCATCAGTATTTTCTATATCTTTTAGGTTTGTTCCAGGACATTTAAGAAATGCGCTACACACACACACACACACACACACACACACACACTCACTCACACACACACACATTTCCCATTGCCCACTCTGGTCCACTAGTGTATGTTTTTCTAACAAAATAGAATCTTCCACTAACAGTTCGTATGATCCTGGCATACCAGATGCTGTACTGACTGTTTGAATATCCTGGTCACTGTGACTCTTGTGGTGTTCTTGAACAGTGGCCACAGGTCAGAACATTTTCTATGTTGAAGTCCGATTCCTATGCTGAAGATCCTGGGCTTGAAGATGTCATGGATCGTTTCCCTTGGAAAAAGTTAAGTCTGATGGTTCGAGTTAGGAACTCGCAGCTCAAATGCCTCAGCTCCGGTTCCATCTGTCCTAGAAAGATTCAATTTAATTAGGTTACAGAAAAGCTCACAAGGGCTGGGAATGTAGCTCATGTCAAGCACAAGGTCCTGAGTTCAATTTCCAGAACAAAACAACAACAACAAATAAACAGAAGAAAGCACACCTATGTCTCATAAGTGGTACAAACAAGTGGCTACTGATTCCATAAAACATCTTATATTGTATCTGGGAGAATTAAATTTCTCTCATCCCTGTCTTCCTCCTAATATTTTGTTTACAATTGATTTATACTCATAATTGAAAATCTTTTTTTTCTTTGCTGTGAATGTCTAGTGTCTTTGGCTACTTTTATATCCACATTTAGTGACCCAGTGCGAGAAATATAACACATTGAATGGTAGTTTGTTGAGTCGGTACTAACTCATTCAAAAATATTTTAAATATCAATCATTGTGATAGGGCAAAATGACAGTACTGACTTTGACATCTCTATCTTTACTCAATCATAAATCATTCTTTAGTTGAATGGATACCAAGAACCTTCTGAAGACCGTTCTGATGGAAGATTAATTTCTGGTCAGCTTGGCTCTCAGACTTTACTTTGTTATTGAAGTTTCCTGACAACTTATACTAATGTTATATTCTACAAATGGACAGTTTCAGAGAACCTGGAAGTATGTTGTGTACTTATCATATTTTAATTTATATACACTGGTAAAAATAATTTCTTAGTATCTTTCTTGTCCACTGTTCTACAACTTCCATAAAGGAGGGCTCTCATCTGCCTCATTTAGTCTTTTGTTCTTGGAACACAGCAGACTTCCAGGCACATAGAAGTATGCAATGAGTGAATGAATGGGTAAATGCTACTTTTTAAAATTTTCTTTTTTTTTCTGCTAAGACCACTTGATATTGTCCCCCTTAACCGATTTTTAAGAGTACAATAAATCTTTATTGAATATAGATGCACTATTGTAGAGCACATCTCTGTAGTCTATTCACCTTTATTGGCATAAACTTTATGCCAATGGACTAGTAACTCTCTACTTCCTCCTTCCTCTGTCCTGTGCATGCAATTCAGCTCTTTGAGTCTGTATCTTCGATTATTTTGATATTTCATGTAAGTGAAATCATGCAGCATCTGCCTTTCTGTGACTGAATTATTTCACTTAACACACGTTCCTCAAGGACCTTTCATGTTGTTGCACATGGCAAAATTTCCTCTTCTTAAAGATGGAATACTAGTCCATTACAAGTAAACACCTTGTTTTCTTTATGTCTTTATCTATTAGTAGATATTTAGGTGGTTTTCACATCTTGGTTACTGTGAATATGCTCCCATAGGCACAGAATTGCTAAAATACTAATTTCAATTATTTGGTATAAATATTCAGAAAAAAATTGTTGAATCTTGCCAGGCGTGGTGGCATAAAACAGTAATTACAGCACTTGGGAGGCTGAGGCTGGAGGATTATTGTGAGTTCAAGGCCAGCCTGGGCTAAAACATTGAGTTCAAGGGCAGCCAGAACTATATAGCAAAACCCTATCTCAAAAAGACATAAAAAAGTTTGCTGATAGTTTTATTATTTTTTATTTTAATGTAACAGAAACTATTAATAAAGAAAATATTAAAAACAATCCATACTTCTATTAAAAAAACAAAATTTCACAACAAAATAGAGAGTAACAATAGTTATTATATGGTTTACTATAATCTTACAAGAAATGCCACAGTGTTACTCAGAGTACAAGTCATAGATAAAATGATTCTGTCTTACAAAAAAGAAATAAACAGATAATAGCCAAAAACTTCCTTTACACTGAGCTAAGAGAAACTACTATTATACATGAAATAAATTAGCATAATATACGTTGAAATATTTTTGGAACAATGGCATAGAGAATTCATGGAATTATTTGAACTTGTCTCTACTTACCATTTCTCTATGCTTTACTTTTGCTTTTTGTTTATGCATGCATATATTTCAAGTTTCTCATGTAAGAGAAATCATGCAATATTTATACTTGTGTGTATAACTTTTTTCACTTGACACTGTTCTAAAATTTCATTTATTTGCTTATGAATGCCTTGAGCTTGTCTTATTTTTACTTTGAAAAGGAAATTCCATACTGCTTTTAATAACAGCTGTACCATTTTGCATTCCTCCTAAAGATGCTAAATTTTCCACCTCCATCAAAATACCTCTTGTCCTTTTAAAAATATGTATTAATCATCTTGACAAGTATAAGACAATACATAATTTTGGTTTTGATTTACATTCAGTGATGATTAGTAAAACTGATCAGCCTTTAATATATCCATGGGCCATTTGCATGTAGTGTTTGGAGAAATGTCTACTCAATTTCTTAGCCTATTTTAAATTAGGTTATGAGGTGTTTCTTTTCTACTCAATTAAAAGCATTTTTATGTATTTTGGAATTCAACCATTTATCAGAGATATGGTACACAAATATTTTCCACTTCATATGATACCTTTTCATTTTGTTATGCTCCCTTTGCTGTGCAGAGATGTTTAACTTAATGTAGTCTTGTCTATTTTTATTTTCTGTGCTTTGGAGTTCATGCCCAAGAAATCATCTCCATTCCCTTATGTTTTACTTTAGGAAGTTCATAATTTCAGTATTACATTAAACATTTAAATTAGTTTGAGTACTATAAGTGTTCAATTTCATTATTTTGCATTAACTGTTTGTTTTTCTGACCATCATTTGTTCAAAGTATTTCTAGTCTTAATTTTACAGTCAAGCTATCCTCCAGAAAAAATTATTTGAGCATAGAAGTTAGGGCTTATATCTGTGATTCTGTAGGGGCAGGTAGCTTCTAGGTAGGGAAAAATAGGATTTATTTAAAAAAATTAATGGGGAATTTTACTAAAAGCAGCTTCTTCATCGACAGTTAGGTAGGCTCCATAGACAGAGCAATTAGAAGACAAAAGAGAGAGAAACTACACCCAGAGAGGCACCAGGTAACACAATTACCATAAGAATTTGTCAGAAAATGTTAATAGAGCAAAAGGATGCCAGAGCATAAAAAATCAGGGATACCAGCCCACTCACCCACACACCTGAGGGTGTTATTTAATATGTAAAACACACACACACACACACACACACACACACACACACACACACACACCATGCATGCACATCCCTATGAAAGAGTTGCTGGCCCAGACTGGACACTGTAACCAGGAAAGGCTGCAGCCAAGTTAGAAAACTCCTGCCCCCCCCCCCCCATAGACTTGACTGTAACCCTATATCCCCATCCCTAAGAACCTGTCCGCCAATGAAATACCTGTACATCTCTAATGGCCTTAGGGCACTGCCCTAAGCTTAGGCTATTTAGATTCCCCCACGCCACTTGTCCGAGAGAGATCGCCAGAGAGAGAGATCACCAGAGAGAGAGATCGCCAGAGAGAGAGATCGCCAGAGAGAGAGATTGCCAGAGAGAGAGATCGCCAGATTCCAGCGGCCAGTGTGCCAGTCTCCTCTCCCCGGGATAACCACGGCCCCGGGTGCGGTGGAGAGGCTGCGCCCGGGCCGGCGGGGGGGGGGGGGGGGGGCTCTCCCCGCATTCCTGAAATAAAGCCACCGCTGCCCACTACTTTCACGGCCGTCTACTCCACTCCTTCCACGGACCTCTACCTCGGACCTTGGACCTCCTCCTCTCCCCTCCTCCCATCCTCTCCCTTCTTCTCAGACCTAACACCTACATGTATATACATGTACATATGTTCTCACTTTAGCATCCCTGTTATGGGACCAGAGTCTTTCTAAGACTCTCCTCCCCACTTATCCCCCCACAAAGGGGCAAGAAGAATATAAATGACCAAAAAGAATATAGACAGAGGTGCTCAGGTTAGGATCAAAGACAGCCAGAGAGCCAATCAGATAGTGACAACTTCTTGGTCCCCACCTGGTAATGGGAGAAATTGCTAATTCTAAATAAAAAGTAGATGGAGGCAAAAATCCATGAGTATTTACTTCTGGTGCTCCCTACTTTTCCAGAGTAGCTATCTATCTTCTCATTTTCCATCTGTTTCCAAGTAAATCATCTTCCTTTGTTTAAACTCTGCCTCTTTAACTCATTACTGTTGCTGAGTTATGATCCTGTGTGCAGCGTGTTCCAGACAAGGACCCGGGTGTATATCCAACATACCACCACAATTTCTATGTATTCATTTGTTCTCTTTTTTACTTTTAAGGAAGTAGAATCTATAAGGAACAAATAAGATGTGACTCTCCCTGCACTCAATCTGTTTGTCAGCAGTATTCTCCTCAGTAGAAACTAAAAGAGATAAGAGGGGAATGGAATCATGCAGGTCCCTGGACATCTGGAGATTTGCACTGGATCCCTCAAAGACTTTGACTGAGGTGCAAGAGAGCCGGAGAACTTTCACTGATATTTATTAACATCTTCCTGCCTAATGTCACTTGCCTTCTTTCACTCCTTATAAAAAGAGCTCTCTTCTTTTTGTTTCCTACATGTGGCCTTTTGCCCTCAGTCTGCCTACACCCAGATATTAAAACCACGTGCCTTGTTGCTATCACAAAACCCTGTTGAGTAGTCTCTGCCTGGTTTGTTCGTTCATTTCTTCACTCCTTACAGAATCTGTTTTCTATTGTAGCTTTGGAGTACATTTTTAAATGAAGAAATGTAGTGCCTCAACTTCGTTCTGCTTTTTCAAGAGGGTTATGGTTATTTGGAGTCTGTGATTCCTTGTAAATCTTAGGACTGATTTTCTGTTTATGTAATTAGTATCACTGAAATTTTCATAGAAACTGGGTTGAATCTATAAATCACTTTGACTACTATAAATGTTTTGCCAATATAGAGTCTTCCCATGAACACGTGATAACTTTCTATTTACGTCTTCTATCACTTTATTTTTCAGTGTTTAACAAGTGTTAATGTTCAAGTCTTTCTTTTCCTTAGGTCTGTTTTTATGCATTTCACTCTTTATGATGGTTTTAAAAATGGAATTATTTTCTTAGTTTCTTTTTCACTATGCTATAGAAAAACAGCTTACCTTCGCTGGTTTTGTATTTTGCAACTTTACTGAATTCATTTATTACTTTTGACAATTATTGGGGTGAATTTTTATTCACCCCAATTATTGGGGTGCTATTTATATAAAAGATCATGCCATAGACATACAAAGATAATTTTACTTTTATTTTCTACTTGGATTTCTTTTTCTAGCCTGATTAGTTTTCCATTCCCTTGAGATGATACTGGAACTTTGATCCTTCATTCTTCATCATATTGATATGTATGTATTAAAACATTCATGCATCTTATTTATTTATAATATATGATCTTTTAGAAATATGTTGTCACTAGTACTTTGTTGAGGATTTTTGTATCTACTCTAAAGCTACTCTATGGTCTGTAGCTTTTAAATTTCTTGTTAATTTAAAGAGAAAGCAAAACAAAACAGTAAAAGGGTACAAGTAATACAGATTTTAAAAAAATAAACAGTAAGAAATCACTAGTTAATAGATTACATATTGTCATCTTAGAAATAGTTGCTCAAGTTACAAAATTAAAGCATACACAGTGGACATTCAAACAGTGAGATTGCAAACAGTTCTGTTCAATGATCCAACAAAAACTTAGTAATATAGTTTTCTATCTTACACACTTAAATATACATGCAGTTATATCCTTTATAGCACTTTATTTTCCTCTCTTTTTTACACCCTTCACACTAGCAACCAAAAAAATGAAATATTTAGGAATTACTCTTATGAACGAAGCGAAAGACTTATACAGGGAAAATTATAATACACTGAAAAAAAGAAACTGAAGATGATCTCAGAAAATGGAAAGACATCCCTTGCTCATGGATAGGAAGAATAAATATTGTGAAAATGGCCATTCTCCCAAAACTGTTATACAGATTCAATGCAATCTCGATAAAAATACCATCAACATCCTCATAGATCTCAAGAAATCACTCCTAAAATTCATCTGGAGTTAGAAGAGACCTAGAATAGCAAAGACAGTTCTAAGCAGCAAAGGCAAGGCAGGAGGCATCATAATCCCTGACTTGAAGTTATATTACAAAGCAACTGTAGCTTCTTTTTTTGTAATGTTTTCACCTGGCTTTATTATTAGAGTAATACTGACTTCATAAAATAAGTTTGAAACTATTCCCTATTCAACTTTTGAGAAGACTTTGAGAAGGAAGGAGTTAATTATTCTTATATATTTGAGGAATGCATTAGTGAAATCATCTGGTCAGAATTTTTGTTGTTGGAAGTTTTAATTATTCATTTTGTATACTTGTTATTGGTCTGCTCACATTTTCTATTTATTTGTATTCAATTGTGGCAGATTGTGTACTCTATTTTGGTACCGGGGATCGAACTCATGACCTCGTGCTTTCCAGGCAGGCACTTAAGCCACTGAGCTAAATCCCTGGCTAGATTATGTATTCTAAAAATTTATCATTTCTTCAATGATAATCAATTTTCTGTTGTGTGATTGTTCATAGTAGTGTGTTGTGATCCATTTTATATTTTTATATCAGACATGTAATTTTATTTTTTTTAAATGTGATTTCCTCTTTAATTATAGAAGACAGTGTCTTATCGGTAAAGTTCTTATTATGTAGTTTATTTTGCATTTACTTTAAGCAAACAAGAATTGATTTATTAGTAAGAAAATGCTTTTTTAAATGGAAATTGAAATAAAGTTTTGTAACAAAATAATAAAATAGCAATAATTATCATATTATGTATTGTTATCTCCATAGTACTTATTCAGAGTAGAAAATATGGGTATAAAACATATTCCAAATAATATTATTTTCAATAAACTAACAGAAACTGATAGCATAACTATCATTTTTTCCTTTTTCTTTCCTCTCTTTCTCCTTTTCTCCACCCTAGTTCCTTTTGTTTAACACCCTAATTCCTTTTGTTTAACAATTTCTTCCCATTTCACAATATTTATTGTATATTTTGATCCTTATTTACTCTTTCAGTTTCTCATACCAGGCAGGCAATATAGTGTTTACACATGAGTCTGATTTATGTTTCTTATAAGTATGCTCTCAAGATGCATCCATTTACCCACCAGTGTCTCATGTTAATTCTTTTTTAAGATTGAATAATACTGCGTTATTTAAAAGATGACATATTTTTTATCCATTCCTTGGTTGTTTGGGTTGTTTACAAGATTTATATTACAAATTGTTCTGCTATAAACATGGGTGGGCATATATGACTCTTTGAATCTTCCAAGAATATATGCAGAAGGGAAACAGCTGGGTCAAGTGGGGCCTGTCACCTCAGTTTTTGAGGAAGCTCCATACTGATTTCCACAGTGGTTATATCAGTCTACACTCACACCAGCAGTAGAGAAACATTCTTTTTTCTCATATCCACTTCAGCACTTGTTATTACTTGATTTTAATTAATTGTAAAGATAATAAGAATAATAAAGTGAATCAAAATAATGATAAGGCTATAGGAAGTCTGCAATAGTTACTATGTTGCATATTCTTGATGATAACCATTCTTTCTGGAATAAAATGGGATCTCAGAGTTGTTTTAATTCACATCTTCAGTGTGAACAATGATGTTGAACTTTTTAATATATTTATTTGTTCTTTGTATTTCTTCATCTGAGAAGTGTGTGTTCATCTCAGATGATCCATTGCATTTTTGTGAAATCAGTTAATTAGTGCCCCTTCCTCATTTTTCACTTCATTTAATAGAATATTTCATTATTCCTGGCTAATTTGCTTGACTTTTTTGCTATTTTCTATTTTATTTATTTTTGTTCTAATGTTTGACACATTTATTTATTTTGCTAACCATGGGCTATGTTTGTTTTTATTTTTCTAATTCTTTCAGGTATAAAGTTATATTGTTTAATGCTGATCTTTTTTTTTTTTTTTAGTACTGGGAATCAAACTCACAACCTCGTGTTCTCCAGGAAGGCACTTGTGCCACTGACCTAAACTCTTGGCTGGTCTTTCTTTCTTAAGGCGGGCATTTATTAATTTCAGGCTTTCTAAATTTGTTAAGAGCGATTTTAGATCTAATAGGTGGTTTATTTCTAGAATGTTTTATGTGTATTTGAGAAGAATATGTATATTACATATTCTTGTTGACTGAAATTCTTTGAATTCTGCTGGCAATGTTTTGTCTACAATATTGTTCAAGATTGGTATTTCTTTATTGATTTTCTGTCTGGATATTCCATAAGTTATTGAAAGTAGTATTGAAATCTGTGGATATTATTATGTTGGTGTCTGTTGGTAACTTCAGTCTGTCAATGTTTGATTTACATTTTAGGTTCTACTGATTGCAATATTGTGCTACACTTTGGTAAATTGCTACTATGGGTAACAGACATGTAGTACTGTTTATATTTTTCACAACTGCATGGGAATCTCCAATTATTTCAAAATCAAAATTTAGTTAAAAATGAAACTGCAAAAACAATCCAACAGCTCAAAGATGTTGCAAGGAAGAACAACATAAGGTCAACCAGAACCAATTAGAAAGCAAGAGACAGTGCAAGTGAAATAAAAAAAAAACTGTCCACAGAAATAATGGTAGAAAATTTAAGCATGAAAATGAATTAGACATAAAAATAAGTGAGGAATATAGATTGCAAATAGATGTGACCAAAGCAAATCTATACCAAGGCATACAATAATCACCAGTCCAGAATTCAGGAAAAGAACAGAATATAAAAAAGTTGTGAGAGGAAAAAAAAAACAGGTCATTTATAAAGAGAAACCTATCAGAATCACAGAGGACAAATTCTTAGGTCAAGGAAAGATTGTGTTGAAGTATTTCAACTCCTGATAGAAACGAACTCCTTACCCAGATTGAGGTACTCTGCAAAACTCTCTTTCAGGATTAATGGCAAAATAATACACTTCTATGAAAAAGAACAACTGAGGAAATTCTTGTCAATGCAACTAGCTATAAAAATGTTCTGAAGTATATTTTACAAAGAGATAATAAATACCACAATCCCAAGAACACCAGTAGAAAGAAGCCACATGGCAAGGCAAACAATTGAACACAAGGAAATAACAGTGAACAAAAAAAATGTAAATACTATGTCAAAGTAAAAAACCATACATAGCTGTTCTAACCATCAATGTAAACAGTCTAAGTTCACCAATCAAAAGAAACAGACTGGCAGAGTGGATCAAGAAATAAGATCAAACAGTATGCTGCATAAAAGACATAATAACTCAAAGGAAAATTCATACACTGACAGCCAAAGAATGTTTACTTCATGCCACAGGAACCCAGAGAAAAGCAGGGGTAGTTACTCTATTTTCAGACAAAATGAACTTCAAGGCAAATCAAATCAAAATAGATAAAGTCCACTACCCACTTGTTAAGGAAAAACACCAAGAATAATAGATAATAATCATAAATATACAATCATCAATATAAGCATGCCTGCCTATATAAAGCATATTACTAGACATGAAAAACCAAATAAGCACTAATACAGTTTTAACAGGGGACCTCAATACCCCTGTTACAAATAGATCAACTGAACAAAAAAAATTAACAACAAAAATAATAACTGAATCAAACCTTTGAACAAATGGATTTAGTAGATGTCTACAGGGTGTTCCACTACCACAACATCAGAGTACACATTCTTCTAAGGTGGGCATGCGATGTTCTACCAAATAGACCACACAGTATCTCATAAAATATGCTAAAGTAAAAAAAAAGGAACTGAAATTACCCCATGCTTCAAGCCATAGTGTAAAGGACTTGAAAATCAATGGCAAAAGAAATCACAAAATCTTCATAAACACTTGTGAGTTAAATAACACCCTCCTGAACAACCAATGGGTCACAGATGAAACTAAAAAAGAAATTAGACAGTTTTTACAATTAAATGATAATGATGATACAACATACCAGAAATTATTGAACACTCTGAAGACAGTCCTATGAAGGAGATTTATAATGGTGAACTCTCACATCAGGAAACAGAATGAGTTCAAATAAACAACCAAATGGTGAACCTCAAATTTCTGGAAAAAAATATCAAGTCAAAAGATGATACAAG